GGAGCCAAACCATGGGGCAACATGGCAAAAGGCCAAAGACCTGAGCCCTGGTTACAGGGAGGTCACCCAGTGCAAAGCCAGCTGGGCCACAAAGATGTCCATGATGCTTTTGCATGAGCACAGCCCCAGTGCCAGGGAAGCCCCTTTGCCCAGAGCGCCTTTCTCTCTCCCCCTTTTCAGCCCACCGCTCCTCCTCTCACTCGCTCCTGCCCCACAGTTCCTCAGTGTGCCTTGTTTCTTCTCCAGGAGCTGCTTCCAAGGAAGGAGGGCACAGTCAAGCAAGCACAAGCAAGCAAGCACCAGCTCCTCCGCCCGGAGGAGAAAGGAACGCCAGCCCCCGGAGGGAGGTTCCCACAGCGCTCCCCAGCCCTCAGCCACCCCTCCCCCCTCCTACCCCCTCCCCCCCCGGGCTCAGCCACCTTAGACCCAACTTTCTTACCGCCATGGTACCCAGCAGCCCGGAGGGAGGCAAAAAACCAGAGGCCCCAGCCCCGCTTCTGAGGCAGTGGCCCAGCTCAAGGCGATAAAATGGCCTCCCAGCGACAGGGCTGCCCGGGCAGGAGCCGGGCCCCGCTTGCAAGCACAACCCAATACCCGGAGAAGGCCCCTTCCTCCCGCGTTCCCCGGTGGCTCTCTTTCTCCCAAGCTGCTCCTGGGGCTGAGAGCAAAGACAAAGAGGCCTAGGGCAGAGCACGCCCAGCCCCACACACCCTGGCCCCACGCCTCTGAAAGGCCGGGGCCAGAGATACCCGCCTGATTACAGGGGGTCCCCCTCCAAGAACCTCCCGCCGAGGGCAGGGGGGACGCACAGCCCTACTTACAGGGCGGTCCCCTCGGCTCGGCACTCCCAACGAGCCCCACGGAACCCAAGGCTTCCACCCGCGCCCGAGTTACGGCCTGGCTGCAGCACACCACCCCCTCTTCAGAAGCTCTACTTTCCCCCTGGGTGTGGAGACGGTGGCTCTCACCCTCCTTACAGGGCTGCCACTCTCTCCAAGCAGCCTAACCGTGGGGCAACATGGCAAAAGGCCAAAGACCTGAGCCCTGGTTACAGGGAGGTCGCCCAGCTCAAAGCCAGCCAGAGCACCAAAGGTGCTGGCGACACCCTTGAGTGGCCACAGCCCTGATTACAGGGAGATCCCTTTGCCCAGAGTGCTTCTCTTTGAAAGGCCGGGGCCAGAGATACCCGCCTGATTACAGGGGGTCCCCCTCCAAGAACCTCCCGCCGAGGGCAGGGGGGACGCACAGCCCTACTTACAGGGCGGTCCCCTCGGCTCGGCACTCCCAACGAGCCCCACGGAACCCAAGGCTTCCACCCGCGCCCGAGTTACGGCCTGGCTGCAGCACACCACCCCCTCTTCAGAAGCTCTACTTTCCCCCTGGGTGTGGAGACGGTGGCTCTCACCCTCCTTACAGGGCTGCCACTCTCTCCAAGCAGCCTAACCGTGGGGCAACATGGCAAAAGGCCAAAGACCTGAGCCCTGGTTACAGGGAGGTCGCCCAGCTCAAAGCCAGCCAGAGCACCAAAGGTGCTGGCGACACCCTTGAGTGGCCACAGCCCTGATTACAGGGAGATCCCTTTGCCCAGAGTGCTTCTCTTTCCTCCACTTCAGTCTCCCGGACGTCCTCTGCTCCTCTTCTCGCTCGCTCTTGCCTCGCAGTGCCACACGATGGATGCCTCTGCCTGCTCCACCAGCTGTTGCCGAGGCAGGCGGACACGGTCAGGGCCGAGAGGGACGCTGGTCCCCGGAGGGAGCTCTCCACAGCACCACCCGATCCCCGGAGAGAGCTCTCCACAGCACCACCCGATCCCCTGCTCCACCAGCTGTTGCCGAGGCAGGCGGACACGGTCAGGGCCGAGAGGGACGCTGGTCCCCGGAGGGAGCTCTCCACAGCACCACCCGATCCCCGGAGAGAGCTCTCCACAGCACCACCCGATCCCCGGAGAGAGCTCTCCACAGCACCACCCGGTCCCCGGCCGTCCTCCCACCCCTACCCCCTATCCCCTGCCCCGGAAAACCCCTCCGAGATGGGCTTTTCTCACTCAATTGGTGCTCCGGTGCTCCCTGCAGGGACGCCTGCGAAGGGTTCT